ATTCTACCCTGGAAAAACAGCAGTGCAAAGAAATCATTAAAATCTCCAAATTACTATAACAAGTGTATATAAACTTCAGACCACAACTCTTATGTTGATTCACATATTATAGAGATTGATTTCAGTCCTTTGTACAAAATCATTATTTCATAAAGAATTTGTCTTCAACCCTGTGTCTTATCTTACTGTCCCGTTTCATAGATAAGCCCCATAATCCCATGGTGAATGCTGGAGCCATTTTGATCAGCTCTCTTATCAAGGTAGACAGATGAACAGTTATCACTCTCTTTTTAGTGAAAGACTGTGGCAGCAAAAGGTTAGTTGCAGATTTTATATATTTTGGAAGCTCAAATCTCTTAAATAAAGAAATTACTATTAAAATATGCACTAACTAACTGTGTTTACCCTGCTGTTGAGTAAGACTCTTGCAGCAATGGTACTTTGCAATAGCAAGTTATGCACTCAATTTAAAAACAACTTAATGCATCAGATGTTTTACTGCATGAAAATTTGTGATGTTCTATAGCATATTCAATGTTTGCCTTAAAGTTGGACCACCTGGTTTATGATCATTACCTGCTCTTCTCTTACTGCTGATAATAGGATACTAAATCATGCAATCAGTAACACATTCGTGTTTTTATACTGTGCAATTAGTACCAGCTTCTGAATGCAGGAGCTGAGTGAATGTGGCAATTATACTCAGTACTGTTTGTTTTTACACAAGCAAGCGACTCTCCTTGTTTTCAGCCTCACTCAAATAAGGCAGAAAAGTTTGACTATGTAAGTAATGTGAATTTTCTACTCTGTTTAGACCATGAATATAAAAATGTAGGATTATTATTTTGGTGCTCAGAGGTATGCTGAAAAAGCACAGATTTATTTTTTTTTTTTTTTTTACAGGTTATGGAGTTTGTGAAAAAGATGGCTGGCCAAGAATATGTAGGATTCAGCAATGCCACGTGAGTGCATTTCAAAATAGAGTTGGAGTATTTTGTATTTATTTGCCTCCATTTAGCACAAGCATGAGTGAAAAGACTTACTGTGTTATGGGTTTAGTCCACTACCTATTGCATTATTGATGTTTTTTTATATTGATTTCTGCTGTTTCTTTGTCTCAGGTTCCAGTCAGAAAAAGAAACAGGCGACAGGAATTTTGCCATCGGATACTACATGAAAGAGAAGAAGGTTAGGTTCAGAACATTTGGAACTCTGTTTAAAATCTCAGACTTCAAAAGTTCCTTTTTGTTTTTTGTTCTAGATGAAATATTATAAAGTCAAACCAGTTTAGATCATGCAGTTGTGTACATGTTAAAAAAACATTTCCTAAGGCTCACATATTTGAATTTAAAAGTTTCAACTTGATAGTACTTATCTTTTAGTAATTAAAAACAATCAAAATTAATCATCCATGATTTAATTATGAAAGTAATGACTAATTGATCAACTGAGTGTCTCATTGAGGTTTGCAGACAAGTTACCACTAACCAAATGACATTAACTTGTTTGCCATTTTATGATGTGTGACAATCATGGTGACAATCAAGGATCAAGCGAATAAGGCCTGTAGGACACAAATCAGAAGCCAGCCAAAAACCTCCAAGAACGACTGATTTTTCCTTAGCAATGGTTGTATTACTTTTAATATGTTGGACAACTCAAAAATTGTCCACATGAGGTCATGTTAGAAACTCAATAGATGACACACATGACAAGGAAAAGCTAACATTTAAAACCTAAATACTGTATTTTTATCCATTTTAACCTATTATAAAATGTATATTTTGATCAGGTACTCAGCAGTCATATTCCACATTTATAATAATGTTTTTATATTATTTAATTTTCATGAAACCAAATTGCCAAGTTTCAGATAAATATTCTGCTTACTTTGGTCAATCAGATACTCATGATGATAATATTTCACTCCCCAGTGTTTTCCTCTGGGAGCAGATATGATCGATGCCCTTGACTTCTACTTCCAGGTAAAATGTCAATGAAGAGTCTTTTATTTATGAAAAATGATTCAGTAGTTTCAATAATAAACTGACTATTCCTCTCAGCTTTGCTCCATTGAGGTAACCTGTGAGTCAGGAAGCATCATGGCTGCCACTCTGGCCAATGGGGGAATTTGCCCAATTACAGGCGAGCGTGTCCTGAGTACTGAGGCTGTGCGAAACACCCTGAGCCTCATGCACTCCTGTGGCATGTATGATTTCTCCGGCCAGATGGCTTTTCATGTGAGTAACAGCAGGATGTGATGGAACAAGCACTTCACTGTGTCACAACAAAAATAGCAATAATCTCATTACCTAGAACAAATGGCACATTCAGCCTCTCGTTCTCATCTCACAGGTGGGCTTGCCTGCAAAATCAGGAGTATCCGGTGCAATTCTGTTGGTGATCCCCAATGTGATGGGAGTGATGTGCTGGTCTCCTCCACTGGACAGGGTTGGAAATAGTGTCCGAGGAATACACTTCTGTCAGGCAAGAAAACAGTTTCTGTTTTATTATATTTAGACCACTTATGTTTTGTTTTTTCACGTTAATGTTTTAATTTGAATTTTTAATGCAAGTAGAACATCCTGGCCTTTGTAATATTTTTGTCGTGTTTAAATTGGCTCTGAAGTCTTCAATACTTCAGGCCTCATGGTAGAAGCTTTAATTTTTTTTAAAGATGATGATGATTACAGTAATAACCAGTTTAGTTTGATAAATAACTTGCAGTCATTACACTATCGACATCCTCTTAAAGCCAGAAGCCTGGCTTTGACTAATACCATAAATATTCCCCTAGAATGTGTCTGTAGTTGCTTTACAGCAGGGGTCTCAAACTCCAGTCCTAGAAGGCCACTGTCCTGAAACATTTCCACGCGTCCCTGCTGCAACACACCTGAGTACAATTAGTAGGTCATTAGCGAGAATCTATACAACTTGAATGCATGCTACAGCAGCTTGTGAGTGAATGAACACAGTGCAATAAAAGTAGTTTTAGAAGTAAATTTTTCCAAACACTTACATTTACTTAAATTTACTTGAGTAGGATTAGGGGTTGCCACTTCAGCATTCAGTCAAGTTCTATACTCTTGCTAATGATCTACAAATTTTATTCAGGTGTGTTGCAACAGGGACACATGGAAAAGTTTCAGGACACTGGCCCTCAAAGACTGGAGTTCGAGACCCCTGCTTTACAGAGTGCAAAATGTCTAATAAACCTGACGTATTCTGTGGCTGTTATATTCTGTTTTATAATCTTTAATTATTTTTTTTTTTTGACAGAACAAAACAGAATAAATACTTTTTTTGTTCCCCCCCTAAAGATTAAATCATACTGTTTTTGTTTTCTTAGGAACTTGTGTCAGTGTTCAATTTTCACAATTACGACAACTTGAGGCACTTTGTAAAGAAACAGGACCCTCGCAGACAGGATGGAGATGACAGGGTGAGTTGCTCGTATTCTGTTTGGTACTGTATGTAATATGTGCTCTAAGCCTCCATGTTTATGGCTCTATGATGTTTTTGCAGAACAAGTCTGTTTTCAACTTGTTGTTTGCTGCCTACAGTGGAGATGTATCGGCACTGAGAAGGTAGATAATCGAGACTCTTGATTTTGTCTGTCCTCTATAAAACATTTCCCTCACAATGTCTAAAACAGGCCCTGGATCAAATTACCTCAACAATGTTTATTACTAGTAAGGTGTAGTGAACAAAATGACCTTTTATACCTAACACAGAATCAGAGCATAGAGTATAAGACCAATAAGCATTCTCTCTTTTTCTTTCTTTTTTTAATAAGACAAGCGTGGAATCCACAATTTGTTTCAGGGAGGAGATACAAATCTCTTTGGGGTTGCATCAGTAAAGGCAGCTAGTGAAAAAATCTGCCAAATCAAACATGCAGGGCTACCCGCTGTGGCGACCCCTTGTGAATAAGGGAGCACTTGAAAGTAGCTGACTGTTAGTGATTTGTTTTGCAGATTTGCACTTTCTTCCATGGACATGGACCTCAAAGACTATGATTCTCGAACAGCGCTTCATGTTGCTGCAGCTGAGGGTAAGCTTCATAAGTTCAGGCTAATTTTACACTTATTCGGTAATTTTTTTATTTTTATTTTTAAATGAATGACTTCAAAACAAGTGCAGTTAGCTTAAGTCATCATCTAAGATCAAACTAATCATGACTTTGATCCAAACAACATACATTTAAAGTTTTGCTACAACACAAAAGTTTGTCATAGATGTTTAAGAAAACTTGGTGTAATTGTAAGATAACAGATGCAGAAAGTTGCAGATTTCAGTTTTAATGATGATTGGTTGGTATAGCAGATAAAAACAACCTTTATTACTTATCCACTGTCTTCTCTCAGTTAAAAGAATGGCGTCTGTTCACTCTGTCATTTCTTTTCATCGCTGACTGATAGAAAAATACTTAAACTTGTTAAATCGTTTGTTTTGATGCTCACAGCAGTAATTAGTGCAACGTTTTCACTTTGTTTATTCTCATGATTAACAGTAGAGGTTCAGTACCTCTGGCTCACATTATACAAGCCACTAATGAACCAGCTCATGAACCCTTACAGAGCACCATATGGTAGATTATTTGTCTTCTGTTGCGATGTTAGTTTATTCACAGCACAGATTTAATACTCCGCTGCCACGACTACAGCAGTAACATTTCTCTTGAAAAGAGCCTCGTAAGCAAACTATTTGTTTAGAGGATTAACATGGAAGTAACAGCAGTTTTCTTCCAAAAGGGAAAAGACAAAGATTCCTAAATGCCATTCTGAGCTGGATTGCAATAGAAGGAATTAGTAATTACATATTTATTGTTGTTTGTTTTTATTTTAGCAGATTTTCTTCTCCATTTCTAATTCTGTGATGCTACTAGATTAATTTGTCAATGGTGACAATTTGCTTTTTTTGCTTTTTAAAAATTATATTCTTAGGTCACATGGATGTAGTAAAATTCCTCACTGAAACCTGCAAAGTCGATCCATTTGTAGAAGACAGGTGAGATAAATACCTAGTATATAATTCTAATTATAATCAATTGATTACATTAACCCTGTACTGTCATACTACTTCATTGTAAAGAGCCTTTTTCCATCAACTAAACTTTTCCAATTATTTATCAGCACTCGATGTCAATACCACAGTTTGTATACTCTTGGATTTTGTCATCCATAGTTTTATGAATTGCCTCTCCATCACTTGCAGGTGGGGGAATCTACCGGTCGATGATGCCATGCAATTTGGGCATGACGAGCTAGTGAAGGTGCTCAAAGATTACCAGCAAGAGTGCAGGCAGCAGGAAAAGAAGCAGAGTGAAGCTGTGCATCCCCAGAAGCTTGACACCATTGATGGCATGGTGTGATAGCTAAAATAAAGTTCTGAAACTGTAATACACCAGGGCATTTGTGCAATTTTCCAAGTTTAGAAATATGGGTGTCCATTTGTAGCACGTAACATGAGTGACGCACAAACAACAGAATATAACTGTCATGGAGCTTTATGAAAGATTTTCTTCAAATTCCAGTCAGGTGAATATTTTATTGTTTAGCGTTTCTTTTTTGTGATTAATATTTTCATTGTATTTTAAGAACACTACAGTCCGTTTAGCATTTCTATTCTATAATGTATATATGTGTGAGGTTCACTTGATTAATATCTCTGTCAAAGTGCAACCGAGTACAATGTAGTGCCACACAAAGGGAAATTGATGCCACCTGACTCAAAGTTACATGGATTTCAGCAGCAGGTGACAGGGTGTAAAAGATTTTTGATAACAGGAAGGTGCTTGTTGTTTTTGTTCTATAAAGGATTTTCCCTCCTTTGCCTTGTCTGAATGTTGTGTGACACTGGTCTTTTTTACTCCCAGTCAAACCAACTATCAAACTCAGCGTATTTAAATTATTTGAAATCCATACCATAAACACAATGACATAATATCACAGTTTTATGTCACTGTTTATACCGTGACTTGGGAAAACTGCATGTTTATTACTGTAAAAAAAGAGACAATGAGTCTCAGTGTGGTACTTTATGATCTCCAGCCTCATAATAAATTAGGTTCCAAAAACTAAATGATGTGAAAGGTTTGGCATTAAATCCATGTATGCCACCCATAAATTGATTTTATTTTGATTTCATTAAGTTAGTCCATGCTTCACAGTGTGACAAATTTGATACTAAATATTTTGCAGCACCCAGTAAATCAACTGAATACATGATGAAAAAGCAGCAGGAGTGTGTGTTTTGCATAATCAAGATATTTCAATGAAAACAAATGGAACAAGTAATGTAATAAGAACTATTTAGCGAGTATTAACAAATGTGCACCCCATTATTTTAACCATATAAAGACTGTACCATGAAATAATTGCCAAAAAAAAATCACATTTTCTGAAACAGGATTGTGTATTTAACCTTCTGAAAAATGTAATGTAATGTGTAAATGTGCATATATGAGCTTTAATTTACACTATTTTTGTTAAATCCAGTATTGTTGTCCAATTTCTTGCTTAGAAGTCACACTTTTAAGTCTTTAAGAGTCTTTAAGACTCACAAAAACTCATAACAAATATGATACAATAGACTGTAGCCACAAAGCACAAATGCTTCATTTTTTCTTTAATCCATCAGATGGCACTATGTGCCTTTCCAACATGTGTCCGTGTTGTCTGCAAACTGGTCAACCTACAGTATCAGTTGTTATCAGGTGTAACAGTGTGCCTTAGATTTGTGGAGAGAAAGAGCACTGCTGAGCAATAAAGAGCTTATATAAGATTAAGCTGACATTCAGAGAGACTGGTGCCGCCTGAAGAGACTATGGTGATACTGACAGGATCTTGAACCCATTCCACTAAACAGACAAACAGAAACAGACATTTAGACAACACATATACAGTGCAATATTTTCTACACATTTCACTTGTTCTTTAAATTGATTTCTTTTAGTCTCTTAGACCCATATTTCTCTTTTCTATTTGGAAAGTGAGCAAATATGTCACAACTGTATCCAGCATTTTGAATGATTTAAGAAGAAAATCTACACCACCCAGTCGATTAGGTGCAGCTCTTGATTTGAACGCTTTACTGGGTGTAGACTGGTGCTCTTCATTTTCTCAAAAGCATTCAATAAAATCGATTGTTGGCAATTGCTACCTTGTTGAAGCCTGTGGTTTTTTTCTACCTTAAGAAGACAACTGGTGAGGTATCAATGTGTGTCTTCTGGAAAGACAAACACATTTGTATTGCTTTCCACAATGATTAAAATTTTGGACTCTGGGCAGTTTGTGACTCAGATAAATTGGACCTGCTCTTTAATGTCATAGACAAGTGTTCATTTTTTTAATGATTTGAACTTTTTGGCATGAAGGAGGTTTAATGAAGCCAGAAATATAAAAGCTGACTTTAATGAGTTGGCACAGGGATGTGCGTGAATCCCACAAGGATGTTAGGATTTTCTCAAGTTGACAAGGTTGTTCTGCCATTCAGCCATTGCCTTCTGGAGATTAGCTTTCAGAGAATGCATTTGCAGCAGTGAGATTAAGGGTGGTAATAGCAAAATACCTGAACTATTAAATCAGTTGCTATTAAATTCAATTTTAATACTTATAGTTCCAGTAGAATGATTCCTACTAGCATTTGTGTTTCACTTAATTTTCTTCTAATGTAACTTCAAGTTGTGATTTATATTCCCTTTTTGGTTTCTAATAAAATCATAGTGAATATTTCAGCATCAGTAGCATATATATAAATATATATATATAAGTTTCTGTAGCATATGAGTGGGTCACACATGTGGGTCAAACAGACTTTACCAACAACTGTGTTTGTACCGTCATGGTTCATCAGTGGCCGCCCTGGCATGCTGTTCTTACCATGTTCCCCAGGGAGGCGTCTGTTCTCCTGTGTTCTTCTGATTCTCACACCTGCGCACACACACCTGCGGCTCATCATTGCTGATGGATCCTGACAGTATTTAAGGCCGTGTTGGAGGCGTGTTCCTCACTGGATTCTTGTACTTACTTCTGTTAGTGTAGCCTGGCTCGCGTTTGTACTTCCCTGTGTTCCCTAGGGCTTCCTCTGACTTCTGTTTCCATCTACCTGTATAGATTGCCCTGGACCTGACCAGAATGAGAGTGGGTCACGGTGTTGGATTGGACGGTGTGTGTATCTTGTTCTGGACTCTACAAAGAGGTACTTGACGTGTATTTCCCGGACCCTCTCTTGGAATCCCCGGAACACTGTCGCTCTGTATGTATAAATATTTCACTGGTGTTGTGTATAAATCCCCTTTTGACTGCACAGTTCACAGTCCTGTCATTGAGCCCTGCTTCAGTAACAGTGACATGTAGCAACAGTCAGTGAGATGACTCATGAGAACATAACACAAAGTTTGTATTCACAGTAGCGTACCCCTGACAGTGTGTTAAATTGAGAGGTGAACTTCATCACAAGAATGTGAATAATCAAGCGCAAAAAATGATGAATATGTGTAATTAGTGAACTGTTTTTCATTAGCATGAGGAACGTAACCCTCTTGCAGAGATAGTACAGATACAGTGACCTTTGGAATTAGTTCCACCAACTGAGAAAATGGTTAAAAAATGTTATGCATTAATTCTGTGTTGATTAACTAATTAATATGTTTGCTAATCTTGTCCACATATCACAAAGAGATGTGCACAGATTTTTAAATATTCGCAGAGGCATTAAAGCATTTCTGTTAAAGAATTGGGGATTTATGAGACATTAGACAACACAAATCTAAATAGACTTTAAAAAGTGCATCAAGCTAAAAGTTAATCATCAATTTACCTTTAGTATTATATATAATATAATGCAATTATAGAATGAAACCCGTACAAAAACCACAGGATAACCTTTTGAGCTTGTAACAACAGAAACAGACAGTTCTGTTCTGGTCTTCTGAAGTTTTCAACCACATCACACAGGCAGCACATTAAAATCATCCATGTGTCAGCTGACATCACTTGTTCAGTTCGGGCTTGCACACCAGCAGTTCTTTCACAGTTGCACAACTATTAGGTTCATGGTTTGTGATACATCTGGATTGTCAAACTCTTCTACTGGGACATCTGGACAGCTACACTTTTAGTGGTAGTTGTCATGAAGCCGTTGCCATTATGATGCAAAACTTACAGCTTATAGCTTTTCACATTTAAGCTGCAGTTTGCTGCAGTCTCCCTCACTCATTCTTTCTGCACAGACAAGTTGATATATTCTGTACACAAGCAGTGTTTACTGAATCCATGAGCGATCAAAGATGAAAAAAATTACATTTTAAATGAAATCACAACACAGGGTGTCCTTTTGCTATGATTGTTGTGTAGTAAAGATTGTAGGTCTTTTGATTTCAGTATGTGTGTTAACAAACTTTAAAATATCAGAAAACAGTAGTCTGCTATAGTAAAATAAAATCAATACCCCACTTCTCCATTCCAACTTACATGTTAGACGGAGTGCATACTGTACATGATGAGGTTGTCAGGGTTCTGTGTGTGTGTGTGTTTCTGAGAGCACCTGTTTATAGGCACCTTCAGGCCTGCTGGGTGTGGCCCTGCGAGGTGGTTGGCCACACCTGAAGACCATCACACAGCTGATCAAGACTCATAGGAGGAGCTACTTAAGAATGCGTTGGAGCTCTCTCCGACGCTAGATCATTGCGTGGTAAATAGTGAGTAAATATAAGTGAGCTGAAGAAAGGAATAAACAGCTGGAACAGGAAAACCAAGTCATGACAGAACAGAAGTTTGAAGTAGAAAAATAATGGAGGACTGCAACAACAACAAAAAGCAACTGGAGGAGAAATTTAAAGCCTTGGAGCAGAAGTATAAATTACTAGAGGAAAACCAAAAAAATGGTAGAGGAGAAAGAGAGAAAAAAGAGAAACACAAAGAGTTGAAGATGAAAAATGTATAATGAATTGATGCAGATGTCGGGGGGACAGAAACACAAAAATACTGCATGAGAGGATAATCAGCTGACCTTTCAACTGCAAGTTAGGTTTGTTGACTGACATGGATTTTTAATTTTTCACATTAAAGAATAGAGTTGCAAACACACTCTGTGTACATGTTAGACGAAAAAGAGTTTGTCTTTATCTCGGTGAGTCTGTCTATAAAAATAATCTTCTTTTCATTGTAATTAACTGAGTATCATAGAGATGGAGGTGAAGCTCTTTGGATTTAAATTTGTAGGAAATGGCAAATCTGTTGAAGGTGCATTTGGAACATGAAGAACACTTATAGTTTGCAGTATGTCAGAAAGGGACAACTTGATTATCCAAATGCAGAGCTCAAAGAAGGATTGTCAGTTAGACAAAAATTGTATTATTTTAAAAGGAAG